TTCATAAAACCAACGCTCCCAAAACTTCATATTCAGCAAACATTATCCTCTAAGTTCACCGCTGCATCCGACTCAATCAAGACTTTATCATCTCCCATCGTGGTCAGGACAATATCTAAGAAGCCCGCCTGTAACACCTCCTTCCTAACCGTAGCCAAGTCCTGTCCGCGATGGAGGCAGTCAACAAGAGTCTGGCAGCACTCCTCAATAAATGACTCATTCACTGCATAGAGTAAGGGACACTAAGGTTGTTCTTGCCACTTTCCCTCAATCCTAACCACCGTCGGGTTTTCGTCCGCCAACGAAACCTGAGGACCTCGTAGAGCATCTGCGTATGAAGAACCACTCACACCTGATCGCCTAACCACACCCACCCTAACCATCGTGGTCAGGACAATATCTAAGAAGCCCGCCTGTAACACCTCCTTCCTAACCGTAGCCAAGTCCTGTCCGCGATGGAGACAGTCAATAAGAGTCTGGCAGCACTCCTCAATAAATGACTCATTCACTGCATAGTGTAAGGGACACTAAGGTTGTTCTTGCCACTTTCCCTCAACCCTAACCACTGTCGGGTTTTCGTCCGCCAACAAAGCCTGAGGACCTCGTAGAGCATCTGCGTATGAAGAACCACCCACACCTGATCGCCTAACCACACCCTCCCTGAAGCGATGTCATTTCACCGCAGTCGCAGGACCCCTAATGTAATGGCTCAAATGCATCTTCAGTCATTTCGTACCAATCATAATTGATCTCAATCTCCGTTCTAACCCACATTACATACATCTGCGAAACGGACAAATCCAAACCTTTGACTTACCTTATCAAGTTTCTTGGGTAAAAACACATCCATTACCTTATCCCATAATCGGAAAATTTTTTATAGAACACTAATCTTATGTAACTCCAAAATATTCCTAAAAAGATACGATGTTGAGGAGCTTAATACACACTCAAAATACCCTCCAAATCCCTTGTTTTGATTCCCACGCCTAGCTCCCACCACTGCCCTCCGCTGACATCTCTCTCCCAAACTCCCATTTTATTTTATTTTTTTTGTCTAAATATTACTTTTTGGGTTGAATCATTCGAATTCATCATATTTATTCACGTGTTTGATCCCGGTTCGTGTTTAAATGAAAAAAAAAATCATTATTTTATGACGAATTTGTTTGAAAAAAATAAAGTAAAATGATGTATTTACATATTTTCTAGTTTTATATAAATATTTTTCTCTTTTCAAATTTCAATAAAATAATATTCATGTCACCATTATTTTTTTTTAATAAAATAGAAGTTAATGTAATAATTCAAAATTTTGAGTTTTAGAATTTAATGTGATATTTTTGAAAAATTCTCGTATAATGTGATGTTACTATTGAATACACATTAAACGATGTTACTATTGAAAAATCCTCGTATAATGTCATGTATTTGTTATATTTAGGAATTTTGGTGAAAGATTATTTCATCCTTATTTTGTTTTAAAATAATTTTTTTACTAAATTTAAATACATATTGTGAAAATTAGAAAAAAAGTTTTAAAATAAAAAAATATTTTTTTAAAATCACATTCATATTTTCTTAATTTAAAAATAATATCTTATTAATAAAATAACGCTTATTTACTTACTTTATTAATATTTAAACTTGTATCTTTTTACAACATATTTATATTTATATACAAATCATATTTAAAAAAATAATAATTTAATAAAATTAATAATATATTAATATTGTAGAACCATTCATTGTTTATATCAAAACAACGTTTTCTTAAAATATATTCTTATAAGATTATTTATAATTGAGTCACGATATAACTTATTAGATATTATTATTATTAAGTTATTAAGTTTTTTATAAACAATATTTCAATAAAAAATTGTATTCGGTAAGTTATTTTTAAATTTACTAATTACAATAGAACTAATTATTATTTTATTAAAAATATAAAAAATAATGTATTTGAAAAATGGAAGGAATTTATAGTTTTAAAATTAAAAAAAAATTGAGTAGTTTTTGACAAAATTTAAAAATTAAAATAACAACGGATATTTATTAATAATAATTTTGTAACGAGTGACCGTTACTGAAAAAAACGGTGATAAAAACATTATCGGATATGGATGTTGGCACCGCCAGTGACCATTCCCATCCTCTTACTCACATCCAATTATTTTCACTGTCACCCTTCACACCAATAATCGCTTCTAATAAAAATATCAAAATAAATTTAATAAAAATGTCAGAAAATATTTAAATTTCTTTCATGCAGGTAGGTGAGAATAAATAGCATTGCAGTGCGTGGTCCACACTGCTGTGTAAAAAACTATTATTTACCAACTCCGAATAATTACAATTACCATCAAATAAATCTATAATCCATAACTACATATAATAAATATTTTTTTATAATAATTTTGGTATTGGAGATATATAAAAATATAATAATTTTAAAATGATATATTATGATTTATATATATATATATATATATATAGAGTAGTAAAATATGCGAGAAAAAATATAATAGATATTATTATTACTAATAATAATAATAAGAGGAAAGGATAATGGAAACTAAAATAATTGTCCACAACCATACATATAAATATTAATAAAACCAAAGACAGACATAATTTGTTAATGCAACCTTTAATGTTCCAACCAAACATTTTTAGAATTAAGTTTTTGGTGGTAAGCAAGCCAATTAATTCCAATTTGCAAAGTCTAATGGAATGAGTATTTGTTTAATATGAACAACCATGACAGAGGCATCATAGAAATGTTAAAGCTTAAAATTAAAACTACTCACTCTCATGCATACACCACTGCTGCATGCATATATAATTGCGTACATCATCATCATATGCAAAAGTCAACATAAACATTTCTATTATTAATTAATTGCCCATTCAAAACTTCTCTACACATATACATCAATTTCCTTCTATATTATATCATCAGTCACATTTTAAATGTTCTATAATAAATGGAATTTCAACTTACCAACGTATTAAAAAATATATATTTAACTTATTTATGTTCTAATTATATAGAAAATATATAGTTTCTTTACTTTTTTTTTATTTGATGTACATTGGATCTATAGAAATATATATAGTGTGTTTGAATTAGCATGAATCGTGTTATTTTCAACTTGTGTTTGCATTTTTTTTAAAGAAACTTAAAAAAAATAAAATAAAATGAGAGGTATCAATATTTGATTTCATGAATTTAACTCATTTATAATAACGATTTTAATTTAATTTATTTTATGAATGCTTTCATCCAAACTCTTGAATTACTCAAAATTTTTAATTCCTCGTTGATAAGGGTTTAAATTCAGTCATGAAACACTAATATCTTACATTTTAAGAAAAGGTTTTATCAAAAAATATTTTATTGGGATATCCAAAATTCTATATATAGTTTATAATATTCAAACTAATTTTCCTATGAAAAGAAACTTAAAAAAATATATATACAAAAGAAAAACGGTTAAACCCGTATTCTCAAATGAATAATTTAAAATCACAAAACAGGATACGGATATTTTGGTCTTAAAGAAATTTTTTTTAAATTATATTAATCAAAATAATTTTAATATTAAATATAATAATTTAATATATTACTGTTATTATTATTATTATTATTATTATTATTATTATTATTATTATTAAAACGAATGGAACCTGAATCATTTAAGAAACATATTAAAATAAATTCAATTTAAGTCATAGTTTTATTTATTTGATTTGATTATTTTTTCTAATTTCTTTTAAATTGTCCATCGAGTCACACCTAATTCACATTTATATATAAAGAAGTAAAAAACAAAATATATATGGAAATAAAACTTAATTTACATAAAGTAAGATTCACTTATATATAATCTCAATTAATTATTATAAGATATGTGGAGAAAAAAATAATAAGAGATGAAAAATATATAAAAACTATCTTAAAAAGTGTTATTCTAATTTCTTCAATCTTCCACTCTTTTTCGAAAATTAAAAAAAATATAAATATTAGTTTTTCAAAACTAAATTTTTCAATTTTTTTAAGATTTCATTTTAGTATCTGAATTTATATTGTGATTCATGGATATTATTAATAATTGAATTTTTTAAACGAGGAATTAAAATAAAAAGATAATTTCAAAGATTTGAAATATAATTTTTCCTATGATAATTAATGAGATACATGTGCAAGGCACGGATATATGTTTCACCTAACACGGATACACCAAGGGGTGAGACAAGCGAGTCCAAGTCACAGTCACAGCGAGAGAGCCCGTGACCTAAGGGTGAGAATATCGGTGTCCCCAAAGTGAAAACATAGTGAAAAAGAAAAGAAAATAAACGACTTGTGTGCGTTATGGTTAGCGGTGGTGTGTATGTGTTATGTCTTCAAGTGTCGTGCATGCATTTTATGCATCTGTTGCTTTGCATGCACACACACTCTCTTTCCTCTTTCTCTCTCATCACTTTCTCTCTCTGCACAGACACACACATCCTGGGTTTCTCTCTCTATAAAAACTCAGGTCAATTTCCATTGCCTTCGGCTGATTTCAGTGGTTTCTCTCTGTTTTTCTTTGTTGCTCTGCTTCTCTTCTTCTTCAGCTAAGTGTTGATGCAACGGATGATGCGTGTGGTTTTGAAGATTTGAGGAGATAGATTGATAGGCAGAGATAGCTAGCACTGCCAAGTTGGGTTCTTTTTCATTCATGTGAACGACCCATTGGTTGGTTTTCATTTGGGGTGAGTTAAAGGTTTGTTTTTTTTTAGCCTTGGGGTTCTATTTTGTTTTCACCCCTTTGTGAATCTTGAAGCTTTGTGCATGGGGGTGTGTGTGGAGTCCGAATAAATTTGTGATGATGGGTCAATTTTTTTATTTTTTTTTGGTTTTTGGTTTAGGGTTTATGATTTTGATTTGGGTTTTGGATTGTGTGTCTGGCAGTGGAATTTTGGATTAATGGGTTCTGATGTTTGCGTCGTGAATGGTTCGTGCACTCATGAATGGAGAAAGGGGTGGCCTCTGCGATCTGGCGGATTCGCCCAACTGTGCTTCAAGTGCGGGTAAATTCGAGTCCTTTTGCTTTGAATTTCATCTATTCGTCAATATCGGGGGTAGTGGGTGATGCATGGGTAGTTTTGGGGATTATGATTTTGGGACACGTTCATGTTGATGTTGTTTTTAAATTTGGGTTTTGATTTTGATTTAATTAGTCTCGTGAGCGTTGCAATTGTATTTCTCAGGTTTGGTTTAGTCTTATGTTTATATTCCCTTCCCGGGATTTTCTGGTTTTAAGTGTGTGTCTGTTTAATATCCAAGGAACTAGTCGCATTGATGTGAATAAGAATCACATTAAGTGCGCTATTCAGAGAAGAATATTTATGTAATTATTTATTTTTCTGATGACAATATGAAGTTGTTGATGATTAAGGGAGAGGACCAATGCGGCTAATTCGGGAAATATTTCTAGATAATGACTTGGTCTTGTTGTAAGGATTGTGAAATAAAAGTTCTTAATTGTTATAGTAAAAAATAGATTATGTATTTTTTTTTATTTCATTATATATATTTTGTTGACTAATGCTGGTTTATATCTGTATGCTAGATTTATGGAAGAGTGGAAGGGTGACATCCTTGAGCCATTGTAAGTGACATAATGTGGTGATTGTATATGTGCTAATGTGGCAAATATATTGTTTTTCTTCCTTAATGTGAATGCAGTAAATGCATGATTGATTCATTGTCAATATTTTATTATAGTCCTACTATTCTAGCCAAGGTTTTATGTTGTGGTTTCCTTGCAATCCCTGACATTACGAGAAATTGCAGGAAAATGTGTCTGATATAGCTGCTATAGTAGCAAACTGTTTGTTAAAACGAGGATTCTAGCACAACCCTTTAAGTTGGAGATTGTTGTCATAGGTGTAAAAACATTTATTTTATCCCTCTTTATGATAAGGAAATTTTATTTCACGTGATGTACTAGTACTTGTGTATTTGCATCTAGCTGACTCTATCTATTTTTTTTAAATAAATGTTTCTCATACTTATTTTTTCTGCAAGATACTTTCATAAAATTCTACCTAGCTGCAGTAATTCTAATGTCATGTTTCTCTTGGAAAGTACTTTTTCTTTACATAAGGAAGCATCTTGCTCCTTCATAGTGTAGGGTGTATGAGTCGATTGTAAATGGTAATAAATAATTTGAAAATAAGAATGGATCTTAGGCTTAGTTTTTATTGAAGTTTTGTCTTGGTGATGTAATATTTCTCCCGTCTGCACATATATCTCCTCGTTTATATCTTTGGTAATCTTGCCCTGCATTTTTATTAGTAATAATTCATTCATTGATTCTTTATTCTCTCTTGGAAATCCTTAATATGTCAGATCTGCCTACGAGAGCTCAGTTTTTTGCAGCAAATTCCACCGCCAACAAACTGGTTGGAGGGAGTGTAACTTTTGCAACAAGGTAAAATGATAATCTATTTTTATGTAACAATATTCAGGCATTCCTTTTCTTCCTTAGTCATTGAAGTCTATTTGATCTGGTTTGACAGCCTATCCACTGTGGATGCATGGCATCTAGATCTTTGTTTGAGCATCTTGACTTTGGTGGTATAGGATGTGTTAGCTGCACAAATACTAGCCAACTTAGTATGGTAAGTTTAATCTGGATTTTTCCAGTGTTAATTTATTGTTATTTTCTATTTAATGCAATCGGATTTATCTTGTCTCATTTATTGCTGAATCTTGTATCTGGGATCTCACTTTTACTACTAGTCACATCGTTGAACACAATATTGATCTCTAGTATTAGTTTTTTGTGACTGTTTTAGTGATATATTATCGTCTCAGAATTTGTAATTAAAATTGTTGCCAGCTATTTAAATGTGTAGCTTTTTTCTTTTTGCATTTTGTTTTTGCATGGCTTTTAAATGTATGGACTGTATATTATCAATAATCAAACAGGGACATTGCTTCAGCAATGGTTGATTAGTCGTGCTTTCTCTGTTATTGTACAAGATGCATATGTTCCACACCATTCTTTGCCCCATCATCTATACAGAATTCATGCATATGCTTTGGATTTGGAAGACTCCTATATGAAAATGATCATTGGCAGACCTCTTTTGCTATAGAATAGTCTTCTAATTATGTTCAGCACGTTGCTTGCTGCTGCTTCCTTGTTGGTTCTTTTTAGTGATCCCATGTCTTTTATTCTGTCATTTCATTAATTTGACGTGTTCAGTTGGCCAAGATTTTGAAGAGGGTCTACTTAGGTTTATTCTCTTTTTTATTCTCTGACAATATTTCACTGGTTCCTTTCATTTGGTGTTTTTCTGCAGATGAGGAATATTGAAAATCCTAATGGGCCCGTTTCATTGATAAAAAATAATGCAAGTGATCGGAAATCTTCTCATTTTGAGGGAAGACTGTTTGCAGGTGGTGTTGATGAAGGAAAACTTATGCAATTCTGCAAAATTATTGAAGCTAGTGAATCCAGCCGTTGGAATAATGCTCAAAGAGATGGCATAATTGGACGTCATGGGCAAAACAACCAAGAAGCCAAGTGTTCATTCAGGGAAGGAGACATTGGATTTTCAAATGTGATGAAGCCATCGTTAACATTTGCTGCCACATTAGAAAAGAATAGGCCACAATGGGAGATTAAGAAACTCCATGAAACAAATGCACAGCCATCTTTGAGTATGTACCTGGGAAATGCATCAGGTAACAACTCTGTCCCACCTTCTGCTGGAGAGGCTGTTGAAGGAAGACTGGAGGGAAAAACATCTCCTCCCTTTCAACAAGGGCAGAGATCTCGTCCTATATTTCCCAAACAATTGAAGAGTGGGCTTACCATGAATGTGGAAATAGACAAAGGTACAAGTTCTCAATCACGGGTTGCTCGGCCACCTGCAGACGGCAGAGGAAAGAATCAGTTACTTCCTCGATACTGGCCGAGGATTACTGATCAAGAGTTGGAGCGACTGTCTGGAGAGTATCCTTTATATTGTTTATTTGGTTGTTTTGAACATATCTACTCTTATAGTACAATGTTGGTGGTTTATCAGTAGTTTCCCTTATATGTAATAATAACAGTTTGAAATCTACTGTTGTGCCATTATTTGAGAAAGTATTGAGTGCCAGTGATGCAGGTCGAATTGGCCGTCTTGTTCTTCCAAAAGCCTGCGCTGAGGTATTTTTGAAGTTTTATTTTCTTTTTCTTATTTTCAGTCCTTGCTCTGTTATTTTTGTATGGAACACTGTTTCTGCAGTTTTATTTTTTTGTGTATAAATATTGAAATATTTTTTTGCCATGTAATGGCTGAACATCATACAAACTGGGTTATTATTTGCAGGCATATTTTCCTCATATTTCACAATCTGAAGGTGTTCCTCTGCGAATGCAAGATGTGAAGGGGAATGAATGGACATTTCAGTTCAGATTTTGGCCAAATAACAACAGTAGAATGTATGTCTTGGAGGGTGTGACCCCTTGCATTCAGGCCATGCAATTACGAGCTGGTGATACTGGTAAGAATAAAGCTAGGGAACAAACCTTGCACATACCTATTGCACTAAAATTTTGTATTTGGATTTATGTAAAATTTTATATGAAATACTTGTTCTTTCTAGTAATATATCCTTTTATAATTTCCATTACCCAATTTTTTTTTTTAATTTTAATTTTAATTTTATTTGTAAATGTAGTTACATATGACCCTAAGATAAGCTAGTTCTGTTTTACAAATGTTATTCCAATAATCTTATCAAGACAAATAGATGAATTCAATACCTTGAAGAATTAATCTCTTGTGCATAATTCATTGGTTAGTACTTGGGGTCAAGCTGACTAATATGTGTTGTAAATCTGAAATTACTATTCTTATGCTTTTATGCAGTAACATTCAGTCGGATAGATCCCGGAAGCAAACTTGTTATGGGTTTCAGAAGGGCATCGAATTCTCCAGATACACAGGTTGGGACAAAATTTCCATTACTGTGTGGTCTCTTTGAATAATACATCTTTATTATTATTATTATTATTATTATTATTATTAACTTTTCTGTTTCTGAGTATGATAAATGACTTTTGTTAAACAGGATACCTCCACATCTGCACAATCTAATTCAGCAAAGGGAACCACCTCTGCTGGAACCGAGAATCTGCCATCAGGAAGTAATCATGCTGAACTTCTCCTTTCAATGAAAGGGAATGTGGAACCTCACTTAAATGGACGAACAGAACATCTGCTTTTGGGTACCGGATCTTCTGGGTTGCTTATGACTGAAAATAATGAGACGACAAACAATAGTTCACTACAGCAAAAAATTTCGGTTTTAGAGAAGAAGAAGACTCGTAATATTGGGCCTAAAAGTAAGAGGTTGCTTATTGACAATGAAGATGCAAGGGAGTTGAAACTTACATGGGAAGAAGCACAGGATTTGCTTCGTCCTCCTCCTAGTGTCAAGCCAAGCATTGTCACAATTGAGGACCAAGTGTTTGAAGAATATGATGTAAGTGCGACAGTGTCAAATCAGTCCATACTTTTATTTTGTAGATTAGCTATTTCGAAGTGAATATGGACTTATGTAGTTTGAAGAATTCTGTTCAAATTTCTTTGTCTTTGCTAATTTATGTGATGTATGTGCTTCATTTCATTCAGGAACCCCCAGTTTTTGGAAAGAGAACTATATTCAGTACATGTTCTTCTGGGTAAGAATCCAACCTTCTTAAATATTTGGCATCATGTTTGGCTGGTACCGATGTTTGGTCGGTACTTTTTTATCACTTGGAGTTAATCTTACCTATGAATTTGTTCATCCAGCTCACAACTGTTCGATATTTTCCTCAATTCATGTCTGCTGTTGCAAGAGTTATATCAGAATTAGACATTAGATCTTAATTATTCTTCGCAAGAGCATCTGGACTTGTTAAATTAACGTGAGCAAATTTTCAACTTGTTCTTGATTATGTTATCTATGTCATCCAGGGTGAAGGAACAATGGGCTCAATGTGATGATTGCTCTAAATGGCGAAAGCTTCCAGTTGATGCTCTTCTTCCTGCCCATTGGACATGTTTTGAAAATGTTTGGGATTCAAGAAGGTGCTCCATTATTATTTGTTATTTTAAGACCACTTCTTTACATGAGATAGTGATAAAATAATTTTAAATTCTTATTGTGGACATCTTTTTTTTCAGAAGTTCATGCACTGTACCAGAAGAGCTAAGTTCAGGGGAATTAGAAACTCTTCTGAAAACCAACAAAGGTGAGATTCTGATATCTGTAGTTTGGATATACTATGTGTCTGTCATGTTTGAGATTGGTTGCGGTTGACGTTTCTGTCACTGTACACAATTGATTGAATATTCAAATTGTAAGATGCAACATGCAAGTTCTACATTCAGCACATTATATTGATGTGTTGAATGATGTCAGTGTTAATATAATACTTGTCAACTTCTATTCTTAGATTCCATGTCTGGTTTAACATGCAAGTTGCTAGGCTTTTATATTTGTGTACGTTTTGAGCGAAGTCTTTCACATCATGTTTGTAGTGGGAATCTCAATTGCCACATCGACTGCAGTTTTACTTCTAAAACTAAAATGAGTCCTCCTTAGCTGTTACTTTGTGCCTTCCCTTTGATCTAGCTGATTGGGCTACAACTATTGAATTCTTATATCTATTTGTCCTGAATGGTTAACACAACAATTCCTGAGTCTTTCTGTTTTGCCCAATGCATCGCAGATTTTAAGAAGCGACGAAGTGATGAAAACAGCAAGTCAATCCAAGAACATGAGCCTTCTGGCTTGGAAGCTCTTGCCAGTGCAGCAGCCCTGGGAGAAAATCTCGTTGACACTGCCGAATCGTCTGCTGGAGCCACCACCAAACACCCTAGACACCGTCCTGGCTGCTCTTGCATTGTGTGCATCCAGCCACCAAGTGGCAAGGGGAGACACAAGCCAACATGCACATGCAACGTGTGCTTGACTGTGAAGCGCCGGTTCAAAACCCTCATGCTAAGAAAGAAGAAAAAGCAATCCGAACGTGAAGCAGAAGCTGCCCAGAAAGATCAAGTTCTCCTCAAAGACGAGTCGGATACCAATGAAACATCAAGAGATGATTCAACTCAGTTGGAGAAAGAGTTAGGACTAAACAGAAGTCAAGCTGAAGTGGGTGAGTCAAATGCTGCTGGGCAAATTGATCTGAATTCTCATCCCAACCGTGAAGACATGCAAGTGGATATCACAGGAGTTAACATGACTAGTCATCTTGAAACAACAACAAACTCAACTACAGTAAGAGAATGTATGAACCAAAATGGTCCAAGAAGCTATCACAATGAAGTGCAGAATGGTGAGAATTCTTCTTTGCACACACCTCAATCCAATGGAGAAGGCCAGAGATACTTCTCTGATGGTAGAAGCTTTGCATCCATTATGTGGAACCAAGAAACAAGAGATGAGGAAGACAGTCAACCCAACCAAAACCAGAACAATCTTTCTTAACAATTTCTTTATTCTTACATTCAACCCTTTTTATATTTATCCTTACATGCACTCACAGTACAGTTTTTGGTTTCTTTACAAAGGGTGGTCAAAGATAGTTCTTCTTCATATAAGAAAGACAATTTTATAGTTTATTTTTGAAGTTTTTATTTTTCTTTGTTTCGTGGAAGTGGGTCGTGCACATTTCTTTGTTTGACAATGAATTTGTTAATTTGTTTGTCGGTTATATGAATGAAACATAGGAAAAGGTTTACAGTTCAATCTGTCTGTCAGCATATGTGATGATTATCTTTTCCTTGGTTTAAGTTAAGTGAGGAAATTCTACGGCAACAACGAATATTTATGTATCATGTGGTTTTGTATTAAGTATAATTGCTTTGGAATCGATAACTAAATCAGTGTTTTTTTTTTTGTTTTTTGTTTTAATTATTGCTGTTTACAATTTTAGTATCTGACAATAGGAAATTTAGTTTTTTTTTTTTTTGGGTGAAATCATTACAATTAGTTTATATAGATTCTTTCTACAAAAAAGAATTACAGATGTTTAGATTCGAAGATTGCAATTATAAAAATCTAGTGTGGTTTTCTTTATAAGATCTAAATTAGATTTTTCATAAAATCTAGCTTAGAAATTTGATATGATTTTTGTGTTAATTATTGTCCCAAAAATATATTTAATTATGAGTGTTTTTTAGTTTAATAAATAGTGGGTAAAAATACATCAATATTATAGATTTTTTGAGAGTCTAATTTGTCATGAATAGATTATTTTGAAAACATTAATTTGACTTTTCATGTATATAGTTAATAAAAACTAAAGTAATAAATATATGAATGATAAACACTACTTAAGGCGTCACTAACATTTAAGTGAAGAAGTGGAACAAAAGAAAAAGAAAAAAAATGAATGAAATTTTTTAAAATGATTTGAAAGAATAAATAATATATAATAATTATAATTTTTATTTAGTTACAAAAATACCTTGATTAAAAATTAACATAGGGTTGGATATAGATGAATAGTTGTCTAAAATCATTGTTCCCATTATCATTCAAAATTTTTCATGCAATTTATCTTATACCTAAAGATATTCAAGGTATTCGTTAAAAATTTTCATATTTATTTTTTAAAATATCATTCAAAATTTATTATGTGACATATCATAAATGAAAAAAAAATGCATATCATGTATATACATTTTCCATGCTCTCTAATACATGGAAACAAACTAAAAAATTAGGAGCGATTATTAATTAATTGTTACAGTTAGTAATAGTGTGATTTAAAAAGTAAGCTGGTTTGTTTTTAATGGCCCATGTGTAACTTCATTAATAAATTTGTTTCCCACAACACACTAAGGAAATCTCCAATCATATATACATTATTTATATTTAACAATCTTTTTTCATATGATTTATAATTAAACTAGGTGAACTGGGTGCTTCTTATAGAAGGATTATTTAAATTCAGAATAAAAAAATATTTTTATACTCAAAAGGAGGAAAATTGCTTAATATTTAGTTGATATAAATAGTAGGACTAATGTATTTTAACAAAGTTAAAATTTTCAGAATATTATTATATGATATAAATCATGTTAGAAGGAAAATATTCACTTTATTATACGTATTCTCAATAAATTTCATCATGAAAATCAATTCTTATCTATGAAAAGCTAAAAAGCTTTACTTTAAATCGATTCCTTTTACCTTTAACTTTTATTCAACTTGTTAAAAAAAGCGTACCCTTCAACTCATTTATTTTTTTTGCAGGAAAGTGTTGTTCTGAATTTCATACTCATTTTCCTCGTGGGTTCATGGGAACGCCACTTTTACATGTTTTTTTAATGGGTGAAAGTTTCGTGAGTTATGTTTTCGATCATTTTTATTAATTACAACTAGCAAAAGAGATTGTATAAAAAATATAATAGACTCGTTATTACAACAACAAAAAAAGTACATATTAGTTAAAGTAAAATAGAAAAGCTTAAACATGTTTTTTTCTATGCTCTGATTTGCTTTTTATTGCTATTTTTTTGTTTTGTTTTGGATTTCCTTTTGTTGTTACATTACTTCTGATAGTTTTATATGTCATTCTCTGAAAGAAAAAATATAATAATTTTTTAAGTATTTCAGAACCACTAAATATATTTTGTTTTTTTTTCAAAGACCAAAATAAGGAAATATTATTATAAAAATAAAACTTATCTTATTGGTATATTAAATTTGTCAAAAATAATTTTTTAATATTTATTACTTATACAAATATTACTGATAATATTGGTACTTATTATTGTTATTGTAATTATATTGTTAAAATAAAGATCAATTAAATATTATTTTAAATTTTTTTTGTTATAAAATGAATTATATGAATTAGTTATATATTGTTTAGAAAAAGCTTGTTGTATCATATTGCATTTCTTACCTTTTCCTTCTTTTATTTTTTTTGTCCACTTTTATTTTATTTTATTTTCGATGTTTGAGTTAGGTTATTTTCTTTCTTTAACTCAATTATGAGTACGAGTTTAAAAGATTATTTGAGATTTATTAGAAACAATAATTCTTTTAAAAAATAAATAAAAACTATTATTATAACCATTTTAAGTTATAATAAAAACTATAAATATAAAATACATTAAATAATAAAAAATAAATAATAATTAATGTAAGATAAACATATAATAAACTAATTATTATTTTAAATGAACATAATTAGTGAGTTAAATAAAAAAATTAAAAATTATTATAAAAAAGTTATATTTAAAAAATTTAAAATTTTGATCTTTACTTTATTTTTATTAAAATTGGTTAAATTAAAAATTTCAATCATTTTGATCATTTTATTAATTTTATATTAATTTAATTAAAATTTGATTATTTAAAAATAATATACCAATTTTCGTTGTATCGGACAATTTAATCTGATTTTCAAATGGTATATTTAATTGGAAATAAAATATGTTATAAAATAACATTTTTAGAAAATTTGTGAAATTGGTCATCTGATTTTTTTTTTTGAAATATTTTAGAATGACTAATTTAAAGTATTATTAAAAAAGTATAAATTCTAAAATAAATAATATTTTGTAAATATTAAAATAAATGTTTTAAATTGGCTGATTTGAAAAAAATTTAAATCTAAACCCTAATTTGCAACCCTACAGAATGGGCAAAAGAGTAGGTGACATTTTATTGAATAAATGCAGTTTAGTTTTAGAAATGTTCAAATTAAGTTTATCAACATTTTCTATGGAGTTAACATGTGAAGGTTGAATTTCGTCCACTTTTTTTATTTCATTTATTTTTCGTTTTAAAAAATTAAATCAATTTAGAAGCAGAAAAAAAAAATCTCAAAATGAATAACAGAGTACACACAAAAAAATAACTTCCCTTGTTTTCTACACCTGCAATTTTGTGAACCTTTGTTTGTAGCAATGTCAAGAGGCAGCATTGTGAAAACAACAACTAAGCAAATTAATTAAACCAATAAATGCTTGTAAATTGAGATGCCTCCATCACAAAAGAGACCACCACATAAATTTTTACTAGTTGAATGATAACATGAAAGAGAGGGAAAGGTAAGAGTTAAAAAGTTAACATTTCCTGGATCTTTATTTTATTAATAAAAAGTAATTAATGGACATACAATAATTTCATTTGCATTGATTACTTATTACTTATTTATATGTAATACAACTCTGGTGCTAATCTTGGTTTGGCTTCTAACACAAGTGGTTCATCAAGCATACCACCATTATTAGACTTAAGGTTGATACTTGATACATTTGGAGGTGCAGTCCAAGAAAAGGCATGGATCAACCTACCCAATAACATCACTGCCATTGTGGAGCCAAGTACGACTGCAGGACAACCTCGCCTTCCTGTGCCAAATGATATGAACTTTAAATCTGGCTCTGACAAGACAACCACAGATCCATCATTCTTTTGGTGGCGTTCAGGTTTGAACTTGTGAGGTTCACTCCACACTTTAGGATTTCGTCCAAGTTCATGTCTGCTTAGAAGTACATGGCTACCCTTTGGAATAAAATAGTTTGCCACCATTGTGTCAATGGTTGAGACATGAGGTGGATTAAAAGGCACAACAGGATGAAGGCGAAAAGCTTCTCTCAGACAAGCTTTTACATAATTGAGCTTTGGAATATCTGATTCTTGCACCATCCTTTGCTTACCTACAACCTTGTCTACTTCTTCAGTAGCTTGCTGAAGTTTATATGGCTGATTTATCATTTCTGCAAGTGCACACTCAACTGCATTGGATGGATTGTCTGCTCCTCCAAGCATAAGTTCCTGCATGTTGTTTCTGTTAATATCTAATTAACATGAATGCATATCTTTCTGGTTTGCTTATATTTGCATTGTGAAACGGTTGATCCATGTACTGTTAGGTAAACATTAAATGCATGTAGTTGAGAGGTAGTGGTTATAGAGGTAGTAGTTGAGAGGTAGTTGTTGTATTGAATGTATGTAGTTGAAAGGTAGTAGTTGTATTAAATGCATGTAGTTGAGAGGCCATATCCAAAGGACCTATTAATTGACCATGCATCACTCATTGCAAACACATCAAGTGATAATATACAGAGTGTTTTATTTAGATACTTGTTTGTCTACAAATTGGCATCAGAGCTTGAGAGCCTGAGTGTCTGAGTGCGTTAGAGAGAGTGTTTGAGAGTTAGAGAGTTTATTTGAGATGACCAACTTAGCTAACAGCATCCCCCTACCAAAGTTATCAAAAGGCGTAAGCTATGATAACTGGAGCCTGCAAATGAAGGCTCTCCTTGGTTCCCAAGAAGTATGAGATGTGGTCGAAAATGGACATCAAGAATCAGAGAATATTGAAGAGCAGACGATTGCTCAGCTTGCTGCATTGAGAGCAACACGAGTAAAGGACAAAACGGCTTTGTACGTACTGTACCGAGCTGTTGATGAGTCTGGCTTTGAGAAGATAGCAAATGCTAAATCTTCAAAAGAAGCGTGGGATATTCTGGAGAAGACATATAAAGGGGATAATCGCGTGAAGCAAGTCAGACTTCAAACTCTTAGAGGCGAGCTTGAAAGCATGAGGATGAAAGAGGTCGAAGGGGTTGCCGAGTAAGAAATGGAGAGACGCTGCCCACTTGCCGAGTGGTGGAGAAAATCTTAAGGTCGTTAACTGACGATTTCACTACTACAAATAAGGCCTTCAACGTCGGTTCTGGAAGGCCTTCAACGTCGGTTCTAGAACCGACGTTGTATCAGGCGACGTTGAAAGTTAAGACTTTCAACGTCGGTTCTATTTAACCGACGTTGAAAGTCTGATTTTTCAAATTAAATTTTTTTATTTATTTCCAACCTTTCCAACCCCTCTATTTATCTAGAAATGTCCCCTCTCTTTTATATTATATTTTTATTAGGTCCCTCTCTCTTTTATATTATATTTTTATTATTTATCATATTTTTTTTAAGTTTAAAGCATTACCAAGTTATTTTTTTGTCATCGACAGGATTCGAACCCAGTACCTTAGTGTTGGAGGTCGATACTCCAACCACTAAACTACTCGAATTTTTTGATAGTAAGTTACAAATAAATTATATTTATATACAAATAAATATATATCCGTGTAAATATATAAATACAAATATATTTATATATTTTGATATATTTATATAATTATATATTTATATATTGGATGTGAGGGCACGCTCGAAGGTGAAAGTGTGTGTCGAGTGGGTTTTCAAAATTTAATGTCAAATTTGTGAGCGAGTCTCTATATATGGGTTTGTAATTTAATGACAGAATATAATATTTATTTATTTATATAATGATATAAAATAAATTTGAAAAACGCATCATTCGCTCAAGTGACACATTCGCTCAAGCGAAAAATACCAATTTTCGCTCAAGCTAGGCTTGAACGAGTGAATTTACGTGAGCTTTAACGTATTTTCACTCAAACGAGAGTCAATCTCACTTTCACCCTCGATCGCGCCCTCACATCCAACATAAAAATATATAAATATATTTATATTTATATATTTACACGGATATATATTTATTTGTATATAAATATAATTTATTTGTAAATTATTATCAAAAAATTATAGTAGTTTAGTGGTTGGAGTATTAATTTTCAACTCTAAAATACTATATTCGAATCCTATCGATTGACAATTCTCTAACTTAAGTGAATTTTTTACTGAAAAAAATAAAAACACTTTCCGAGAAAATATATATAAATAAATATATATTTACACGGATATATATTTATTTGTATATAAATATAATTTATCCGTAAGTTATTATCGGAAAATTACAGTAGTTTAGTGGTTGAAGTATTAGCTTTCAATTCTAAAATACTAGGTTCGAATCACTGTCAGTGACAATTCTCTAACTTAAGTGAATTTTTGGCTGAAAAAAAATAAAAACACTTTCCAGAAAATATAAATAAATATATATTTATACGAAATATATATTTATTTGTATATAAATATAATTAATTTGTAAGTTATTATCGAGAAAATTATAGTAGTTTAGTGGTTGGAGTATTAACTTTCAACTTTAAAGTACTGGGTTCGAACCCTACTAGTGGCAATTCTCTAACTTAAAAGAATTTTTGGTGAAAACACATTCAACGTCGATTCATCAGGGAACCGACGTTGAATGTGTCAACTTTCAACGTCGGTTCATCTAGAACCGACGTTGAATGTACTTTCTACATCATTTTTTAATCAACCGACGTTGAAAGTGCATTTAACGTCGGCTCAGCTTTAACCGACGTTAAATGACGACGTTGAAAGCATATTTTGTAGTAGTGTTTTGAGAATATCATTTGTGCAATAGAAGAGTCCAAGGACTTGTCGATGCTCTCGGTGGAAGAGCTTGCCGGGTCGCTTGAAGCGCATGAGCAGCGAAGAAGGAAGAAGAAAGAGGATTCCCTTGATCAAGCACTCCAAGCAAAGACAACCTTAAAGGAGAAGAAGGTTCCTTATGCTCAGAACACTCAAGGCCGAGGTGGTAGAGGTAGAGGAGAATATGAAAGAGGCAAGGAGCCAGTCAGTCAACAAAACTGGCGTGGCCGAAGACAAGGTAGAGGTCATGACGGTAGAGGCCGAGGTGGTCAGTCAAGCAATTCCGGAGTTGAGTGCTTCAAATGTGGGAAGTACGGTCATTTTGCTAAGGACTGTTATTCAGGTATCAAATGTTATAATTGTGGGAAGGTTGGGCATTTCGCGAAGGACTGCCGATCTGAGAGGAAGAAGGAGACAAACCTTCTCTCTGAGGACACTGAGGAAGAAAGAATATTGATGATGTCAAGAAGTTTGGATGTCGAGCTAAGTCCGAGCTGTTCTGACAACTCGGTTTGGTATCTTGATACAGGAGCAAGTAACCACATGTGCGGGGACGAAAACCTTTTTAAGGAGCTCACTAAAGTTGAGGTCGGACACGTGTCATTTGGAGATGCATCAAAGGTGGCAGTAAAAGGCAGAGGTACAATCTGGTACCTGTAGAAGAATAGCCGAATTGGAGAAATCAGAGACGTGTACTATGTACCCGATCTCAAAAGCAACATATTGAGTATGGGTCAGCTGATGGAGAAAGGCTACTCGATTCTGATGAAAGACCGAGTACTATACCTGAAGGACAAGTCGGATCGTTTGATTGCCCGAGTAGAAATGAAGAAGAACAGAATGTACAAGTTGGACTTGAAGATAGTCCAAGAGAGGTGTTTGAAACTTGACGTAAAGGATGAAGCAATGATGTGACACTTTCAATTTGGCCACTTGCATTTTGGCGGACTGACCGAGTTGGTAAAGAAAGAGATGGTGCGAGGACTCCCGTCTATGAAATTTGAAAAGAAATTATGTGAAGAGTGTGTGCTCGGGAAGCATCTGAGGACCTCATTTCTGAGGACGGCCGAGTACCGTGCAAAGGAACAACTCGGATTGATTCACACAAATATTTGTGGACCGATTACCCCTGAGTCCTTCAGTGGGAAAAGGTATTTCATTTCTTTTATAGATGATTTTTCAAGAAAAACCTGGGTATATTTTTTGAAGGAGAAATCCGAGGTGTTTGAGGTGTTCAAGAGATTTAAAGCAATGGTTGAGAAAGAGACTGACATGCCTATCAAATCTGTTAGGTCTGATCGAGGAGGTGAGTTCATTTCATCCGAACTCATGAAGTATTGCGAGGAGCAAGGGATAAGGAGATTTCTGACAGCATCATACTCACCCCAACAAAACGAAGTTGCCGAGAGGAAGAATCGAACCATTCTTGACATGGTTCGAACAATGTTGAGAAGCAAAAACGTGCCAAAGGAGTTCTGGGCAGAAGCAGTGCAATGTGCCATCTATGTGCAAAATAGATGTCCACATGCTAAGCTGAACGAGAAGACACCACAAGAAGTTTGGAGTAGAAGAAAACCGAGTGTGTCTCACCTTAAAGTGTTCGGTAGCATAGCTTATGGTCATGTTCCAGCTCAACAGAGGACCAAGCTCGAAGATAGAAGCAAAAAGTACGTGTTTATTGGGTATGATGAAAAAACCAAGGCGTACAGGTTGTTTAACCCAATAACTAAGAAGGTCATCATGAGCCGAGATGTTCAAATTGATGAAGAAAGCGAGTGGAGTTGGAACAACCCAGAGAAGGAGTCCATAGGAAGTAGAAGCTCGGAAGTTGATACACCACATACTGTGAGAGATCATGAGACTTCTGATGAAGAAGATGAACCTCTACAGCTCAGAGCGCGAAGTTTACAAGATATATACAACTCCACTGACGAAGTGCATGTTGTATGTCTCTTGGCAGATTCAGAAGACTTATATGTTGTTGGCCTATATGTTGATGATCTTATCTTCATGGGGAATAATGCCGAGCTAATTGAAGAGTTTAAAGAAGTGATGAAGAAGGAGTTTGAGATGACTGACTTGGGTCTTATGAAGTATTTTCTTGGCTTAGAAGTTGTTCAGGGAAAGGATGACATCTTTGTGTCACAGGAAAGGTATGCTGAGGAGATCTTGAAGAAATTTAAGATGACAAGTTGCAACCCGGTTTCCACCCCTATGGAACCTGGTACAAAACTTTCTAAGTATGCAGATGGAGACCGAGTTGATGCGAGCAAATACCGAAGTCTGATTGGAAGTCTTAGGTATCTTACAAATACCAGACCAGATTTAATGCTAAGTGTTGGAATAGCAAGTCGATATATGGAGGAGCCAAGGTATAATTGGAAGGCACTAAAGAGAATTCTAAGGTATGTGAGAGGAACAGTGTCACTTGGCCTAATGTATACTAGGACGGATGATTATCGACTAGTAGGCTACTCGGATAGTGACTGGTGTGGAGATGTTGATGACCGAAAAAGCACGTCTGGATATGTATTCTTCATGGGAAACACAACATTCACCTGGCTTTAAAAAAAGTAGCCCATTGTAACGTTGTCAACTTGTGAAGCCGAGTACGTTGCAGCATCCTGGAGTGTCTGTCATGCAGTTTGGCTTAGAAACCTTCTAAGCAAGCTGGAGTTGAAGCAAGAAAGAGAGACTGTGATTCGAGTTGATAACAAGTCGGCCATTGAATTGGCAAAGAATCCGGTCAATCATGAGAGAAGCAAACATATTGATGTTCGGTTTCACTTCATCCGAGAACAAGTGAAAGAAGGAAATGTGGAGTTAGAGCACGTCGAAACCCGAACACAAGTTGCAGATATGTTCACGAAGCCACTGTCAACCACTCTGTTCGAGAACAACAAGAAGATGCTTGGAATGAAGGACAAAAAAAAACATTTAAGTTTATGGGGGGATTTTGTTAGATAAACATTAAATGCATGTAGTTGAGAGGTAGTGGTTATAGAGGTAGTAGTTGAGAGATAGTTGTTGTATTCAATGTATGTAGTTGAAAGGTAGTAGTTGTATTAAATGCATGTAGTTGAGAGGCCATATCCAAAGGGCCTATAAATTGACCATGCATCACTCATTGCAAACACATCAAGTGATAATATACAGAGTATTTTATTTAGATACTTGTTTGTACATGTACATATATGTATATATATATATATATATATATATATATATATATATATATATATATATATATATATATATATATATATATATATATTATAAAATGCAACCATGCAAGGAAAAACTAAGAAAAGGAAAAAGAAGTGATGTATTACTATAGTTAGCGCCTTGATTTCCTTCATTGTCAATGTTGGATTATCATTTGCATCTTTGAGTGAGATCAGAACATCCAGCAAGTCCTCTTCAACGCTCTTTGATCCATCATTCCATTTCTTCATTCTCTCTTCAACCATTGGATCATGATACTTCTCCATGGTCCTCATACCTTTCTTCACCTTGCTCTTGTGGCCATCCAAATCAAGAACCCTCAACCACGGGACATAATCAGAAGCAGAGAAGTCATAAACGTGACTAAGCAATGTGAAAATAGTATTCACTTGTTCCACTTCCTCTAACCCAGGACCTCCATCCGCACTACCCTTTCCAAAGTACCTTGTATTAAAAATCAATTTCCTCGTCACATTGCAACAATAGTGTTGTGAAACATCTCTCACAGTCACAAGGCCCCCATCCTTCACATTGTTGCATTTGTTGTAGACATAAACCATGATGTTATCTGCTTCTTCGTTCCTTTTGTCTTCAAACCACCGGTGCCTGAGGGGGGAGAACAAGTCGTTGACAATGATTCTCCTCATTTTCTTCCATTGTTCCCCAAAGGGTACAATAGCTATGGTCACATAACCACTAGATATGATATCAGTGGCCATGGTTAGTGGTCTTGATGCAAACTCAGCATCATGCTTCCTCAAAAACTCACAAGCAAGGGTGGGACATGACACTGGGATTACGTGGACTTTTCCTAGGCGAATACATGCAATTTCAGTGTTCATTTCTTGCATGAGATTGTGTATCCACCGAAATACAGGTCTGTTTGCAAGCATTTCAGGAAGGTTACCAACTATAGGCCACGGTTTTGGACCTGGAGGTAGTTTAGGCCTCTGAATTAAGTGATATCTCAAGGCTTTGATGACAGTAAATCCACAAATCATGACAAACAAGGAAATGAGAAAACATTGAAGGTGCAGGCATAAATTAACGGGGGCGTAACCCATAGGAGCTGGGAATTGAAAAGGGTATTCAAACGAAGAAAGTGGTAGGTTTTGATAACTTGGAATATAGGAATTATTGCTAAACCGTGGTCACTCTTCCTCTTGGTTGATCAGGTTCCTGTTTATAAAGATTGCTAAGATGGGTAATAGTTGCGTGTCAAATTAGAGTCCTTTATAAATTGGAAGTAGGAAGATGACATGTTTGATCAATTATGGAGTATTATGTTCATGCTTAATATGCAGCTCATTTCACCAGGAGAACCTTGAGGGTATATTTCTCAAATAGAGTAATTTAAGGGTAGATTTCTCACATTAAGTAATTTGAGAAAAAGAAATATACTATATTCATTCCATAATTTCTATAACATTGATTATGACTTCCAATCAATCATGTGTTCTGTTTTCAAACCTACAAACCCCAACTTTACCAACTTGCTATATGTGGGGGTATTCCACTCAACTCTACGTGGGTGGTGTTTATTTGAAAAAGGAAAGATTTTAACAGTATTGGTCGTTCAATTTTATTGCAAATAATTAAGATTCAAATGATAATTCATCTTAATCTTTTATATAGTAACAACATTTTTTTATTACTACTATTTATAGATAATTAATTGTATGAATCAAATTTATGTTTTCACTTTTCATACAAAAATAATATTTACTAAATTATACGACTAAATAAAAACCAACCTGAATTACACGAAAAGACATCTTATATCAATTAAAAATGGCACTAATTTATATTTATAATATATAATTGAACAAATAATTTTATCTTATCAACTCAATTTATAAAATTGACTTAGAAATCTCTATATTTCTAATAGGTATACTCATCTATAAATTATTAAAATGTAATGTTATTATTAATTAAAAATATATATAACTTTTTTAAAATTTAAATTACCTGTGTATTTATTTTAAACTCTTTTATCTTTTTGATGTGCATTTTACAAATTATTCCACTATTAATGAAATAAATTCTGTCTAACTACTATCATCCTATCGTTGCAATTTGTTAAAAGATTTTATTAAAAGCTAAAACTATTTTTCTATCTCAAATTTAACTATTTATTGAAAACCTAAAACATAATTTTTATTTCAAATACATAGCTTACAGTTATTATTTTTATTCCTGATAAGCCACTTAAAACATGTGGTGAGTAACTTAACCTAGAAAGATCATTGAAATAGTAAAGCTAAAATGACCCCAAAGTTATCTCTAGTGAACCATGAAGCAATCTTTGAGATATGTGATTCAGTAATAATATAGAATATTTACACCAATCATGTGTTAAGTTAAAAAAATAAAAAATAAAAAAAAAAACTTGAGAAATAAAATGTAAGAGAAATTAGGTTTAGATTCGTTGAAGAGTGATGGGAAACATGGATGCATTGCAAGAAGACACCATCCACAACCCACGAATAACACATGCTTGACCAAACATATAAGGAAACTGACATATATACATATATATAAAGCAGAAAAATTTATAAAAGTAAGTTTTTCTTATGTAATGTAGATCATAGCATACGTATAATTCAAATAATAAAATTAATTATCTTAGGAGATAAAATTTTGTAATATTATTTGTTTCAAATTCTTTTTGCTACGTGTTGGATAATATTTTCTTTAAATTAAGTATTGTAATATAATTTTCAATTTCACTATATGTTTAAAATTGAATTAATAAACTATATTTTTATTTTTATTTATTATGAAAAAGATTTATATACTGTGAAATTTACTTTCAAAGTTGGGAAACACGATTTCTCTCAAAATAAACAAGACAAAACTGTAGCAATAATGAAGGCAATATGTGAGACATATGAAAGACCAAAATTCCAATTTCCACACGATTCTGTATTTTACCCTAGAATTTAGTAGCAAGGAAATTTTTTCCAGTTCAGAATTAATTCTGAACCTGGTTTTTCTGGCTTTCTATTTTCATATATATATATATATATATATATATATATATATATATATATATATATAATATTTTGTAGTTACATTTTAATTATATAGTTTTTAAAAAATATAATTGAAGTTTATTTATGCTCCTTTATATTTATATTTTTTATTTTTAATACATAAAAATAAAATCATATTAATTTTCTTCAAGAATAAAAATTGAAATATAATAGGAATTAATTTAATAAATTGTAATTTATATATTTTTTTCTTAAATAATCTATCGTTTAAATTTATTAAGTAGTTGACTAAAAGTGCCTCTTTGAGCATTTTTTTTTTTAGAGTTTAAATATTTCGTTGTAAATTGGTTTAATATTTTAGTACTCTTGTCACCCAGAGTGTAATGTCCCTTTTGGCAATGTTTCTCCATTAAGTTATAAATAGTATCTAAAAACTTAAAAAAAAAAGAATTTCATAATTATCGTTATGTAAATTACCTGTTGGCTTTTTTTTTTAGATTAATTTTGGTCCACTTTTTTTTTTTTTTTTTTCTATAGTATGCATGCCTTTTAATCAATGGTATCGTTTAGGCACTAACAGGAATCAAATTCTGATTCCCCCTTTTTTAAATAACATTTAGTAAAGACAAATTACTTTTATTCGTATAAAATAATCATATAATTGATTAACTAACAGTTGCATAATTAATGGGTCTATTTAATAAACAAATTGAGTAATGAATTTATAAAATGGACAAAAACTTATAAATAACGAATTTATATGATTTTTGATATATTTAGATAAGTTTATTTTAAAAGAACAAATATTTTTCTATTTTTTTAAGTAATTTAAAGTTGCTCCTCATAGAGGGTAGAAAAAAAAAACATATATGAAAATTCTAAACTTTAGTGTGTACATGGGAATAAAAAAACTACAGCCTCAATATTGTTTCTTATTTTTCAAACACTTGTCTGTTTTTTTAGATCAATAAATAAGGATTAACACTACAAAAGAAAAGCCTATTATCTACAAAATATTATCCACGGATAAAAATCCGTAAGTAAAAAATTCGTAGGTAAATTTTACATTACAAAAAAAAAGTCTATTATTTACAAAATATTACCCACGGATAAAAATCCGTAAGTAAAAAATTCGTAGGTAAATTTTACATTACAAAAGAAAAGCCTATTATCTACAAAATATTACCCACGGATAAAAATCCGTAAGTAAAAAATTCGTAGGTAAATTTTACATTATCTACGGATATTACCCATGAATAAAAATTTGTAGGTAAATTGTACATTACCTACGGATATTATCCGTAGGTAATGTCATTTGTGGGTAATTCCGTGAGGAATTACCTACGAAATTATCACTAGCAAGAATCGAACCCAATACCTTAAAGTTGAAAACTAATACTCCAACCACTAAACTATTAGGATATTCTAATAATAATTTACAAATAAATTATACTTATATTTATTCGTGTAAATATATAAATATAAATATAAATATATAAATACATAAATATATAAATACATAAATACATAAATATATAAATACTTAAATATATAAATATAAATATAAATATATCAAAATATAAATATATTTTATATTTATATATTTACACGGATAAATATAAATATAATTTATTTGTAAATTATTATCAAAATATTCTAATAGCTTAGTGGTTGGACTATCGCCCTCCAACTCGAGGTATTGGGTTTGAATCCTACCAATGACAATTTCCTTAATTTAATAATAATTCAAAGTTTCAAAAGGGATTGTAATAAATAAAAATATTTTGTTTAGGTGAGTGCATTACCTACGGATTTTTTACGGAAAGAAATCCGTAGGTAATGTGACATTACCTACTGATTTTACCCGTAGATAATAAGCGTTTTTTTTGTAGTGTAATAAAAAAAATAAGAAAATTATTAGAATTTGTATATTTATTAAGTATAATGAAAATATTTTTTTAATTAATTCATTTAAATATATATTATGATAATAATATCATTAATATTTTATTATTCAATTATATATAATATTATATTTAGAGAGTAATTATTAATATTAAAATATATAATATATTTATAAGAGACTTATATATCATTATATCTTTTATAAATCTCTGATTGAGATTTTATTTATTTTGATACCAATTTAAGTATCAAGAATATATTTAAAGATGAACCTCTTCTTATTTCAAGATTCAGTAAAAAAAAGTGTGGTCTTCTTTGACATAATACTCGTATAAAGTGCTGTTGATTGATATCGCCCAACTTGTTTATTATAATAATAATGGAAAAGATACTTTAAGATCTTCTTTTCACAAACATATAAATAAAACTTAAAAATAATAATATTTTGTTATAATTGATAGAAAAAGAATGAGATGAAGTGATTTATGGATGTCAAAATATGGTTCCCTGTGATTATTTTGCAAAAACAATGTTGTGTCATGTTAAGACTATGGTCAAAGAAAAGAAAAAAGTTGTAATAATTCTTATATTATTAATTTTGGTTATTATATTTATTTAGCTTGATGTCTTAAGATTAATTAATTATATTCTCTTATGGGGTATATAAGACGGCTTTAGAATTAATTAAGTGATAGATTATAATTGAAAGATATAAAAACCTATAATATATAAATCATTGAGATTACGTATCAGACTAAACCTCTGCACCCGACATGTTTCATCAACACCATGTGTATGTCACTACCCGGTCGATATCATATTACAAAGGAATTACAGTAAATAAAAATATTTTGTTTAGATTAGTGCATTATCTACGAATTTTTTACGAAAAGAAATCTGTAAGTAAAATGACATTACCTACGGATGTTACCAGTAAATAATAAGCGTTTTTTTAGTATAATAAAAAAAATAAGAAAATTATTAGAATTTGTATATTTATTAAGTATAATGAAAATATTTTTTTAATTAATTCATTTAAATATATATTATGATAATAATATCATTAATATTTTATTATTCAATTATATATAATATTATATTTAGAGAGTAATTATTAATATTAAAATATATAATATATTTATAAGAGACTTATATATCATTATATCTTTTATAAATCTCTGATTGAAATTTTATTTATTTTGATATCAATTTAAGTATCAAGAATATATTTAAAGATGAACCTCTTCTTATTTCAAGATTCAGTAAAACAAAGTTTGGTCTTCTTTGACATAATACTCGTATAAAGTGTTGTTGATTGATATCGCCCAACTTGTTTATTATAATAATAATGGAAAAGATACTTTAAGATCTTCTTTTCACAAACATATAAATAAAACTTAAAAATAATAATATTTTTGTTATAATTGATAGAAAAAGAATGAGATGAAGTGATTTATGGATGTCAAAATATGGTTCCCTGTGATTATTTTGCAAAAACAATGTTGTGTCATGTTAAGACTATGGTCAAAGAAAAGAAAAAAGTTGTAATAATTCTTATATTATTAATTTTGGTTATTATATTTATTTAGCTTGATGTCTTAAGATTAATTAATTATATTCTCTTATGGGGTATATAAGACGGCTTTAGAATTAATTAAGCGATAGATTATAATTGAAAGATATAAAAACCTATAATATATAAATCATTGAGATTACGTATCAGACTAAACCTCTGCACCCGACATGTTTCATCAACACCATGTGTATGTCACTACCCCGGTCGATATCATATTCATAATATAGACATTGTGATTCATTCTTAATAATATGATACGATTATTAGAAGAACATGACAAAAATTACCTATAATTGTTAATCACCTTTCACCCAACCATTAATAAGTTTATTAATAATAATATTTTTTATAAAAAAATCATAAAAAATTATCCAACAAAATAAATTGTAGAAATTTTTTACTACTATAACAATGAACACTAAATTAATAAAATGTAAGAATATTACTCGAAACTATTAGGAAAAAAAAAAAACGAGTTTGAAAGACTACCGTCGAAATTTCTTGCTGGTGTAACTACAGAAACTAAATTCCGAAAGTGTAAAAAAAATAGTCAAAACAACTAGAAAGAAAAAATGAGTTTGAAAGAGTGTAGTAAATATTTTTATCAAAGAAATTCCCAACAAAAAAAATTGCAAAAATTTCAGATCTGGTGTAATTACGAAAAATTAAATTTCTAAAATGTAAGCATATTACTCAAATCTACTAAAAAAAGAAACAAGAGCTTTAATAAGTGTATAGGAATTTTTAATTTGATAAATTTCCCAACACAAAAAATTGTAAAAATTTCTGACTTGTGTAACTACAAAACCTAAATTCCAAAATTATTTTGAAAGAGTGCACTAGAAAAAAAAAAGAGTTTGAAAAAGTGCAATGAAAATTTTTAATAAAAATATTCCCGAACGAAAAAACTTATCGAACTTTCTCACTTGTGCAGCTATGAAAACTAAATTCCTTAAATGTAAAACTATTTGTCAAAACCAAGATAAAAATAACAAAAATGAACTTGAAAAAGTGCAATG